CCGTGCTGCCCTCCTCCCCCTCGGGACACCCCTGGGACCCCGGGCACCCCCCAGGGCTGCTCTCACCCCCCGGGACCCCCCCGGGGCCGCCGGGGCTGCCCCGCGCTGCCCTTGACCCCCCGGGCACTCCCCCGGGACCCTGGGGCTGCCCTCGTCCCCTCTGGGCGCACCCGACCCCCCCCCCCGGGTCTCCCGGGCTGCCCCGCGCTGCCCTGGCCGAGCTCCGCGCTGCCCCGCGCTGCCCTGGCCTGCTCCCGGGCTGCCCCGCGCTGCCCCGGCCGAGCTCCGCGCTGCTCCCGCGCTGCCCTGGCCGAGCTCTGGGCTGCTCCGCGCTGCTCCGGGCTGCCCCGCGCTGCTCCGCACTGCGCTGCGTGGCCGGCGCAGGAGCGCCGCGCTCCCCTCTGCCCGCTCCTGGGAATGGCAAGTGCTGAAGGAAACACTCGTGGTTTGCAGAGCAGTTTATCTTTGGGATCTTCTAATATGGGATTTGAGTTATTTTTAGAATTTGTATTTAATCTGTGATTAAAAAATGGGTGAAAACTTGGTAGTGCTGCTGAAACGGATGAAAATGCACAAAATCTATTTTTAAAAGTTCTCATCCCTTTGAGATCTTGGAGAGTATCAGCAAGTGGTGCTCGGCTGCTGTAAAATACATTTTGTACGCTATAAAGAAGCAACAACTTTTTGTTTTGCATTTTTAATACACAGCTATGCGGCTTGTGTTGTACCGTTGCTTTGGAAAATCCTTCTTTTAAAAATCCTCTACAGAGTTCCTTAGACGCTACACTCACCACAGTGCTTAAAAGCCACGCATTGCCAGGAGTTTCGGGGGGGGGGGAACGAACCCCTCTTTCGGCGCACGCCCAGACGAGCGCCAAGGCGGGGGCGGCCGCGCAGCCCACGGCTCCCGGGCCCCGCCGTCGCCAACGCGCTCGAGGAAAACGGGCCGCGCACTGTGGGGAACTGAAGGAACCACTTCAGAGTCCAAAAGGGAAAATACCTTAATTTGGGCTACTCGGTGATAATCAGCTGTTTGTGTCAAGTGCTCCCACCTCAGTGCCTGTTACCTGCCAGGGCTTCGTCTTTTACACGATTCTTGTGTTTCTTTTCTCTCAGGATTGGCATGAGAGGACGAGAACTGATGGGTGGAGTTGGCAAAACGATGATGCAAAGTGGTGGGACGTTTGGGACGTTCATGGCTATTGGGATGGGAATCCGCTGCTGACGTGGAGCTTGGGTTTTTTAACCTGAGGAGACCCTGTCCAGCTGTTCTTCCCCTGTACTATAATAAAATCTTTAGATACACAGAGAGGGCTCCCACTTCTGTGAAATTCTGAAGCATCAACCTACCTGCTTTGTTCAGTGCAAACTTGCTTTTGACCAAATGTATCCTCCTATCTCATACTGCCATAAAAGAGGCCTAATTCCCCTTTGTACCTTGGGACAGGTTGTATTTCACAGGCTGGGACCCATAAATGTTCTCCCCTTTGATTCTGCCGCCTCCCAGCTGCTTTTACAGTTGCCTTACAGAGGAGAGGGCATCACCTCTGAGGATGAACGGTGCCACTAAACAGCGGGCTGCACGTGCAGGCCTTTTCTCCAGCCTTTAATGAGTTATCAGCTGGAAGCGTGGTGCTTTGCTGCCTGCCCTCCACTAGCAGCGGGGGCTGCACCAGCTGGAGCAAACACCAGGCCAGGCTCGTGTTGCAATTTACTGCTCTTTGCCCCTTGAGACAAACGTGATCTTTGCTTTTATCCCGGTGTCCCCTCTCTGGTGTTTCTTTTTAACTGCAGCACAGACTTGGAGGCTGTAGTTAGCGACAGTAGGAGAAGAAACTGAACGAGCCCCCGCACAGCCTCCATGTCTTCCCCAGCTTTAAATTAGACACCTCTGCTGCCCTGCGGCCTGGGCCATGCTCTGTTAGTCACTAGCTGGCCAGAGTGGCTCTTTTAACTGAGATTAAAACCAAGGTCAAGCAAAACCACCGCCACCCCCAACCCGTGGTTCAGTGAACCCCCCCACCACTTCCCTCTGGTAGCACCCTGCGCTCCAGAGACAGCCCCAGCTTTCAGAGCTGGGTCTCACCCTCTTCCCTGTGCATCCTCCTCCATGGCCCCACTCCCAGCTCCTTCCTGCATTTCCCGGCCTGGTCCGCACAGCCCCTGAGCCAGGGCTGTGGCTGCTCCCGGGGCGGAGGCGGCAGCGCAGGGGCAGCCGCCCCCATCCTGGAGCCCCCTCCCATTCCCCAACAGGGCTCCTTGCAGGGCTCAAGGGCCCCGGAGCAGGGCGGAGGGGACACGAAAGGGGGACCCCCCTCAAGCCAGGGTACCACAGAGAGATGGCCCTGAGGGCCCAGCCGGACCTGCCCCCGCCGCGCCTGCAGGAACTTGAGGAGGACATGAAGAAAAACTACCACAAGCCCCGCAGGGGCAGCGGTCAGGCCAGGTGTGCTGCGGGGCAGGCGCCCGGGCCTGCAGGGCAGCCCTCGAGGGACAAGAGAGGACAGGAAAGGCCCCGGCCCCTTTTCCCCGGGGCTCTGAGCAGCCACCTGAGCTACCGCTCCAAGGTGGCAGCCACTGCTCTAACCAGGAGGGAGGTCCCGGGCCCAAGGCCGCCGCTGACATCACGCAAGAGGAGGAGTGAAATAAAGCTTCTTAAAGGCCTTTTTAAGAGAATTTTATTTGAGTGGTTCTTACAAAGATTGTTGCAATATGAAAGTCTTTGTTTGATAGAAATATCAAGCTGTCTTGTCAAACACACTGAAGTAACCCAAAAATATATTTCAGAGCTCACAGAGCTTAAAAAGAGCAAAGATTATATGCAACCAGAACAAAACATGTTTCTGTATTTCCTGCCCATTTTCAGGCTTGGCTGAAATCCTGCAACTGTGCACTGCATACAGAGAAACTTAACTGGAAATGCAGAGAGAGTTTTGTTTGGAAACTTAGACACACCTCACACAGTATTTACAAAGAAACTTTTACAGATACATTAATCAAAAGTTACCATCAAGAAATAAAACCCTTCAATCCTTCTATTCTTACCAATTATTCAGCACAAAGCAAGCTGAGTGGCCAACCAGAATCAGCTTTCAGTAGCCTTTTGAATTTTCCATTTATACAAAACACTAAATACGTTCCTTCATAAAGTCTATCTCCGATATTAACCTTTAGCAGATCACCTACATTTAGTGAAATGTAAAATGTAATTGCTGCATTAAAAGAAAGGCTCGTGAAACATTAAAAATGTCATTATGTCCCATCTGCCTTTAACAGAGAATTTGTTTTCTATGAGCTACTTCTCTTTTCCTACAGATCACCTTAGTAAATGTACAAGAATTACAAGGCAGAACAAGAAGTCAACAGCTTTGTATACAGTGGAAATGCTAGTCAGGGAGAATGAACACACTGCATTTCTGCTTACTTCATTTTATTTTTAAAGGTAGCAGGAAGTGTACACAAAAATGACATTAAATCTTTTCCTTTAGTTTTATCTAAATAAAAGATAACTCAATCTTCCTCCAAAAAATAACTATGTACAAAACTGACTAAATCCATCTTCATCGTCGAACAGGGACCAGTAGTTGGGTTGCAGTCATAGAATCTGGAAAAAGGCTATGGTATGTTGGAAGAGGTACATACGCTGCTGTAATCATTTTACCTAATTAAAGGATTAAAATAAATATTCAGCATGGTTAAATTCTGTAACAAACAAACAAGCAAACAGAGGTCTCTACATGAAATCCACTCACCTGCAAACCACCTCCCATGCAGTGCATTTACAGCTGCAATGGCAGCAGCAATCGAAGGACATTTGACATACACATTGCCCTGAAACACACAAGTGGCAGAGTGGGTTACAAGTCTGACAATTCCTTCCTCCCGCTCGACCTACTCGGATGCCTCCACCACCCGGGTGCCATGGAAGCAAACCTGCTCCACTGGAATCAATCGTCACTGCACACGGAGCATGAGAAAAACTGAAGTCCTGGATGTGGGGTCTGGTTGCTTTTGCAGACAAACATCATCATTCCTAACACCTACTCAGCGTGAAGCACCTTCCAAAGCAGGTCTTTCCAAAGCAGACCCAATGCAAACTGGAAGTAATTGGTAAGTGC